ATGAAGGGATGCATTTTATGGTTCGAAAATGTACATTTTATTGTGCCACTGATATAATGTTTCCCATATTTTTCTCCTCAAAACATGATAATGTAAAGTGGGGTGAGGCTACATCGTGTTGTGTGGGAGGTATCGTGGCGTACCAATGGGTTTTAAAGTTAAAGCAGATGCTATGTGGATGCAAGCTAGACAGACAACGCTGAATAACTGTCCATCACGAACTCCTGGTAATGTCACGTGCCCTTATAATAATTACATGCACCATGATATATAACACTACACAATAATAAATTCACCAATTATGATTCTTCAATCGATTACGGCCATGCGTGTTTCAGCGCGCATGCGCCATCTCCCTTTATCTCCGTTGTTTTTGTCTCGAATCTATGACCACGACTTCTAGTAATTAATATTGCAAGCACTGGTATAGTTTAAGATTCCAGTATTCGTCGAGCAACAAGCAATTTGTGCTGCTAACTGGATAGCGACGAGAAACACCGGTAAGTAGGTAGTTTCTGGTTATAAGAAATAAAGAATATAACAATTGATAGTTATGGCAGCGAGAAAAAACTAACATTGATATATTATCTTCAAACAAATAGGGTCCTATTAAGTAGGCCTATATTACGAATGCAAGGTATACAGTATTTCTTAATTTTGTGTAGGGAATATAATCAAGTGATTTCTAGTTTCAACACACAATGTTTTGTTAAACCTCTTCCATTGTCACGGTAGCTCACATTAATTTACGTATTTTTTGTTGTTGTTATTATTATTATTATTATTATTATTATTATTATTATTATTATTATTATTATCATCATCTTCATTATCATTATTATTATTATTATTATTATTATTATTATTCTCCTTATTATTATCTATTACTCTTATTATTATTATTATTATTATTATTATTATTATTACCAATTCTTTATATGTATTGGTTCGAAATTTTGTGTAGTGCATTGAGATTTTTGTTTATGCGCTACAGTCATTTTAGCTTTAATTAATTCATATTTAACATTTTAGATAACGTTTAGTGAAAAAAAAAACATTCTTTGCAATATATGCGCTGAATAAGTACCGGTATGCTTCTAAGTATTCGCCAGAGGCGTTAATTTTTTTGAGAAGGGTTTTTGAGAGGGGCATTTTTTCGAAGGCGGTGTTAATTTGTTTTGGTGTGCAATTGATACGATATACTCAAATAAACGCTCCTTTAATTCCACTGTAAGTATGGATCTACAACACATAATTACCGTCAAAATGTGAGTATTGTGCGATCATAAAGGCTTATTGATCCCAACCAGGTTAGTAAAAATGAGTAGAACATTAATAGAACATTTATAGAGTGTGTTGAGAATGATGCTGCTTCCATTATATTTGTTTACAGTCATTAAAGTGGGGATTATTCGCGGAAAAAGGCATCGCGGCGTTTATTGGGGATTATTCGAGGAAGGCGTTTATTCCAAATGCGGCTCCAGTGGAGGCGGTTATTTAAAGCGGTGCATTTATTCGAATAAATACGGTATAATTTGAATACTCATTATTATTCTTTATTATTATCAATAAATTTATAATTATTATTATAAGTATCATCAATATCATCACTAGAAGTAGACGTATCAGTTTCATTGTTAATTTATTAGTCCTTGTAATCAAATAAGTTGTTCAAAAATGAGTAGTCGTGTTTCCGCAATTTTCTAAACCCCATTTTTAATTAAAACTGAGAAGCTGAAATTTGTTATCGTAAAGGTTACCGTGAGCGGACGGTATACGCATGTCAAACCTTACAAGGTCCCTTGAGAATTTGAATTAAAAGAAAATGTTACGTTGAGTAATAGAATATTAACACCATCGTGATGACAAATGTAATACAGAATGTTTGAAAACTACTTACAGAATATATGTATATATGCTGTATACTATTATTAGCTACGGCGTGTGTGTGAGATGTGTACAAAGATATTTGTCACTAAATGTATTTGAAAACTAGCGAGTACTTCGACTATAAGCCTTTGCTTGATAAAGACATATAGTCGAAAGTACTCACTAGTTTTCAAATAAATTTTGACATATATCTGATACCGTTTGACTCGGTACTATGTATATTTGCCTATACAGCACCACCATTACTATAGACCTATATAATGTATATGTGCGTTTTGTGCCGTATATATACATGGTTCGTTTACTAACTGAATGACAATGTAGAATGTAATTTTTTTTTTTTCATTTAATAACAGTATTAATAAAAATGAACCAGAACGTACCAGACCAAATGAACGATCATGCAGTGGCGTGGTTGATAGTGATTCCCATCTGCAGTGTCGAAACAGTAGTGTGTTTATTTGCAATCGCTTCGAGGACTCACTGGAAATGCCCTGATGTTCTCCTATTTTCTTTCGTCTTTATCCAACTTCTTTACCTAACGATCCCTATGTTGATTTATTCAATCAACGTAAGAAGGAACGATATTTCTATGGCAGTATGCAGGTTGGTTGTTTGGTGTGTCCTCAGTTTTCGAATCATGATGAGTCTACATATGACGTATCTTGCCATGGATCGCGTATGGATCTTAAAATGGCCACGTGCGTATCATCTACACAATACAAACAGGCAAAGCTGCAAAAACTCAATTTTTATGTGGTTATTTGGAATGTCCATAGGTGCCATCGGATTATCAAATTGGCGCGAATCTGATCTAGATCTATATCTGAAATGTGGGCTCGTTCTGTACACACCCAACTACGTTTACTCTCTGTGCGTTATTGTCATCATTCTGGGTAGCCTTGTTTTGGGTGTAATGTGCGTTGGAACATTGGTCGTCGACACAATAAGAACTCAAGAAACTGACCCAGTCATACCTACCATTATCATCGAAGACGAGATTGGCATGAAGACGCAGACTGTAAAAGTTGCAAAGGAGGAGCAGAACCGCCAAGTTAACAAGATCGTCTGCTTTATATTTAGTGTATACTACGTCCTGAGTGTGCTGCCGTTTGTGGTAGGTTATTATTTACATTAGCAATTTCAATGTTTGAGAGTGAAAGTTTGAGTTGATGAAAATACACAACACAGAAACTTAGGATGATAAAACGATGGCGATGAAACAGTACCAACTACAGTTGCTACTTCATAGAGTACATACCTCTTCCTTGTCTATGAGTACCAGTAAATAATGTAAAAAACAAACAAACAAACAAGCAAAAAAAAAAAAAAAAAAAAAAAAAACACAGACAATCGAACATGATCTTTGACATTTTTCCCTAAAAATGTAATCACCTCTTTCTTCTGGACCACTATGTACCGCTCTACCGATCTATTAATGTTTACATAATTCTTGGTCTACTAACAAAAAAATCAAACACATCGGAAGGACAAACCTCGTTGAATATTTAAAATCCTGGGTTGAGGTAATTACGTGATGACTTAAATCTTGCCAATTATCCATAATGATAATTATACAAATTAAAAAATCGATTACAAGAATAATGATATATTTATATAGGCCACCAGTTCTTCATTATTATGTATATAGGGCTATTTCTTTAAGAGTTGGTCCCATGCAACAGACAATCTTCGAGTCTCAAACCCACGACTGCAGAAATATTGAAAAGTTTTTGAGAACTTCAAATTCTTCTCTTTATTGTATCACACTGCAATAACACTGCAATCATTACAAAGTAGGCCTATATACCAAATATTCTGTGTAGGCCTACACCATCGTTGTCTAAGGTAACATAGCGAGAATGCTTTATAAAATATAGTCATAAGTATACCGACGTCGCTACAGCATTTTTCTAAAATCACAGTGTTAAGCCTATGTCAATAAAATTATGTAAATTTATTAAAAATGTAACAGACAAGAACGAAACTTCTTCTTCTTCTTCTTTTTCCTTCTTCCTCTTTCTCTTCTTTTTCCTTCTTCCTCTTCTTCTTTTTCCTCCTCTTCTTCCTCTTCTTCCTCTTTTTCCTCCTCTTCTTCTTCCTCTTCTTCTTCCTCTTCCTTTTCTTCTTCTTCTTCTTCTTCTTCTTCTTCTTTATCTTCTTCATATTTTGAAGGTTTCAGCTCAGTGGCTTTTATTTTCAGGCAATTGCCAGTGCACCACACTTGAGCAGTTTTTACAACCTGACATTGAAATATACAAACCGAAACTTGTTATGGCAGAAAAGCCTGACTGCCACTGTGTCGTATACCACCAATTAAATTTAACGTGCAAAGACCAGCCAGCTCACTCTCTCAGTCACTCTGTGATAGCAGTATGTAATCTAATCACGTGCCGGTAGCTAAAATAAATAATAAACAGAATATAAAAGTAATTTTATTTCGATTTAGTTGGGCGTAAGCACACTCTTCCTGCAAGATATTCTTCTGGAAAGTAGTGGTGAAACATTTACTGGGCCTATTTCTTCAGGCACTGTGTTCCAGTCGGCAGTAGTTCTAGTATACCTGTAGTATAATTTGATGAAGTATGCATGAAGAAGAAATGTAGGCTAGACTGTTTTCTCTTCTTTCTTTTGTGTTTTCTTTGAGGTAAGGGTCCTTTACAGGGGCGGGTCCAGAATTTTTCAAACAGGAGGGTGGGGGGTACAACAGTTTCAGAATAGGTAAGTGAGCACATAAAATTGATTTGCATTGAAATTTTTAAAATTAGGTAGTAAAACGGGGGCACGTATCCCCCGTGCCCCTACTAGATCCGCCCCTGCTTTATAAATCTTATAGAATATTGGTTGTTTAAAATCATTACGAAACAGGCCCTTAAATTCCAAATTCGGAGTTTGACTGTCTAAACAGCATTATGAGTGGTAGTGCCACATTTCTTTCACAAGAGTTGTAGCATATTTACTTATTTACATAATTCAATCAGGATCTGAAGATTCGATCTTGAAAACAAAAGCATAGTTTGGTGATCTCTATAGCTGGAAGGTTTGATATTCTCTTAAATACGCGATTCTCAGAATTGAATTTATACGTTTGCCTGGAACAGCTAGCCACGACGGTGTGTCATTTAAGCTCAAATATTCTTGATAAAGTTTTTTTACTCAGACTGATTGGGTATATACATATATACTTAAATTGTTTATATTCATTTATATTACTACTTTATATGATTATACCACTGATGATAAAGATAACGATACCAGTGATGATTATGCTAGTGACAACACCACTGATGCATGTTATGGTAATAATGCCACTGAATATAATGGCAATGGCGGTAGGACAGTTGATAATATGACAATGATGATGCCAGTGAATGTATAGAAATAATGATAACATGGCTGTTATGCCATCGAACATCCTGGTACTCAAATAAAGTTGGTAGCACTGTTATCAGTGCAACGTTGCCCATCGTGTTTGAGAATTTAGAGAAAAGGGCCGCCTAAATTTAGTCAAATACGCGCCGATGCGGTAGACTGAAAGAGAATGTATTAATAATATACAATATCAAGTGAAACATTGCATATTTTACCACAATGAATAATTTAAGTCCATTCATTCTTAATTAGGAAATGTTTGCCGTGACAGAAACGATTTTCAACATTATTTCATAATAGCATAATCTATTATTATGAAACTGTTATTATAACAATATTTACATAGGCCTATACAGCGAATATTAATTTTTTTGTCATATTTTGGTTAAAAGATATTTCCTTTATAAAAATTCAGCTGTATCTTGATAAACACTATGGAGTCCCTTTTATACACTGTAAAACGAAAAAGAAATCTTTTAAAACTAAGACCAACCATTTTTCAGGGAACACCCGTACCAACAATGCAGCAATTCTTATGGTCTCGAAAATGTCTACATAGTGTCTACTTAGTTATATTTTTATTAGTGTCCAATTGATTTCATAAACATGTTTATACAATACAATAGAAAATATTTGAACGGATATACTAAAAATAATGACATAATCAAAACATACAAATATAAATAATACAATAACATAAGTCGAGGATATATGTATAATTAACAAGCCAATGATATCTATATTTCAAAATTCAACCTTTGCTGATATTCAATGTAGACTAAAAAACACGTAAATGAAAAGGCTCATTCGACGAAGGTAATTTGCATTGAAAACACCGTAGATCTATTATTAGCTACGGCGTGTGTGTGCATGTGGTGCTAATACATTTTTACAAATCGACTACAAAGATCACATATTTATAGTGATCACCTACAGGTTCATGTAAGGCTGAATAGATTATCAACAGAACACTTTTCGAATAATATTACAAACAATCAATATATGTAAATAGAAATGGTTGGTAGCAGTAAATTTTACTTGGTAATTGACTTACGCGCACAATCAGTCCATAAATAGTATGTCTCCCATGGCTACCTCGTTCATCCTTATTGCACTCAGATAGTTGTGGTAAGAACTCAAAAAATTATGTTAAGAATACAATCTTATTGATGAGGTTTATGACGATGCTGCTGATAGAGATAATGATTATTATAATACTGCTGCTGCAACTACTACTACTATTACTGCTTCTACTGCTGCTGCTACTACTACTACTACTACTACTACTACTACTACTACTACTACTACTACTACTACTACTACTACTACTACTACTACTACTACTACTACTACTACTACTACTACTACTACTACTACTACTACTACTACTACTACTACTACTACTACTACTACTACTACTACTACTACTACTACTACTACTACTACTACTACTACTACTACTACTACTACTACTACTACTACTACTACTACTACTACTACTACTACTACTACTACTACTACTACTACTACTACTACTACTACTACTACTACAACAACAACAACAACTACTACTACTACTACTACTACTACTACTACTACTACTACTACTAGAGCAGTCCTACATACCTCCACCCTGTGCCTAAATACCAACAATACGCAGGCCGTGTATGGTGGGCGTATACAAGGACATTATTTTCTTGAGTGCTGCGGCATACCCTCAAAATATTGAAATCGCCCAACGTATTTAGGGATATTATACCCGATTCGATTATTTCCTTTAATGGTCGACGGTCAACATAAAAATAAATAAATAAATTTAAAAAAAAAAAAAAAAAAAAAAAAAAAATCGAATTTTCGTGACCTTGACCTTGTTAATTGACGTTTTCATCCGAAAATTAAATGGGTGTCTTTCTTAGATTATTATGCACCATTCCACAAAATGTTATTGTGATCAATTCATTAGTTTTTGCACAATCTTGCAAACAGACAAACAGCGCTGAATACATATCCTCTTTTGGTGGAGGTATTAGTAATGGTCATGATGATGATGGATGTGGTGGTGGTGATGTTGAGGTGATGATGACGATAAGGATGGTGATGATTGTGATGATGATAGTGATGGTGACAATTATGTTATTAATAATAATAATAATAATAATAATATTAATAATAATAATAATAATAATTATTATTATTATTATTATTACATTATTATTATTATTACTATTATTATTATTATTATTATTATTATTATTATTATTATTATTATTATTATTATTATTATAGCTATACAATCATTTCACTATTTTCTATACTAGGCATATTTTTACATGTAATTTTTGTTTTCTTATTTTTAAAGATTGTGAATCTATATTCCCTGCCAAATATGGTGGATGATTGGATGCCAATCGTTATTCAGTGGTGCACATTAATTGGTTACGTCATAAATCCTATACTGATGGGCGTGGTATGTGATCGCTATAGGAAAGGATATGTTCGTTGTCTTGGCAACCTCGGATGCATGGCAGGCGGAAAATCAGAACGTAATCAAAGTAAGTAATTTAATTTTACTTATTTAGGTTTACAGTTTGTGGCGTCCTCTGTCTGTGTATAAGAAATAAAGTGACGTGTTTTTTCATATAAGTGGCAAACAGGCAGAATTTTTATGTCACTCAAACATTATTTTACTTGCTGTACTCAATCAGTTTATTGAATGTTTCTTGTAATTAAATTTTAGGTGTTCAAAGGCAGGAGACACTGGACTCACTGGATAACGTTCCTTCAACAGAGAACACAATCGAATTTCATTCACCAATGTGTGAAGTCATGGATAATTTGGAAAAAGAAATAGACAGACGTGAACAAGTCCCACATGGGAGTATAGAGCATCAAACTGAGAACTCTTTGATCATCCCTAATGATGACTCGTTCATTGGATTTCAGGAAGAATGCCAAAAGGAAGATCTAACATTCGAGAACGAAGTTTACGAAAAAGATCATGATATGACAAAATCCGCAGAAATCGTTAACGAAACTGAAACTTCTAATAGTAAGCAAGTTAGAAATAATCGCAGACGACAAAAACGAAAATTGTCAAACGAGGAAAAAATTAGACGAGCTAAAGAGCGATACCAGAGGAGTAAACAAGCCGATAGTCCTAGCTCTAGTGACAAAACTGAAGTAACCAGGACTTCTCGAAAAAAGGTACCTCGGTCTAGACACAAAGAAACAAATGATGTTGATTTGCAGTCTCATTCTAGTTCTACAGAAAGTGAAGTATTAGAGAAAGATACTTCAACTGAGATCGGTTCCAGTCTTTACGACATACCGGAAGAATGTCCACCACCGTCCGACGTAATATCAATAGTTGGAATTTCAAATCAGAGTAGGGATGGAAAAATTATATCAAATTTTCAAATTTCAGAAATAAAAAACATCGAATATGGTTCGCTTGCTAAGCAAACGGACAGCTTCAAGAGTATGTTACCATTAGAAGATAATTTTGGGTCTGATAAAAATGATGGCCCCATGAACAGTTTGGTAAAAATATCGGCGAGAGAAATGCGAGAGAAATTCCGAGAATCTCGACAGCAGGAAGCTCATGTGGTTAGCTCAAATTCAAGTAGTGAGGCTATCGTATTTGTATAAAAATTAATAACTTACATATTTGAATAGTACTTGGTGCAAATAAACAACGCGCATTTTGTAATAACTTGAAATGCAAATCTAAAAGAGTTTCTTTCTGAGCTACCGTCGCGTAGTTTGGCTTGCTAATATTTACCACATTTCCGTGTGCCTGTTGATAAAGACAACATTGTTCGATCTAACAGGCGACTGGTTAAAGTTTCGTGTGCAGCCTTTTTTTTTTTTATAGCTTATTGCATACACTGACTTTAGACTACTAGCGAATAGAGAACAACACCATTAATTATGCATTTTTTTATTGACTATTGTGTAATAAAATGCTCCGAGCCATCACTAAAGCAGATATTATCCTATACTAATTAACATCTCTATAAATTGCTTTCGGTTGTGAGCAATTAAGTGAATTGCAGGCCTATAGTTTGTTATTGATGTCCTTTTTTCCATCTAAAGTAAATAATGAGACGAGGATTGTTAAAAAAAAATATATGTCCTTTAATATGAAAAAAAAAACTAACTGCGTTTCTCTTGGGATGTTTCCGTTCACAATCGTCACAGTTTGACGCGCACATGCAATTGCATTTGTCAGGAAATAGAAATTAATAACAATTCTAAGACTACTAGGCAAGGCTGCCAATAGTTAAAATGTTTTATTAAACTTCAAATTCATAACCGGTTTGTAAGAGGTAGGTTGCATGTTTAAGTCAATTATAAACTCATACATCACAATATATTTTAACTCTTATGATACTTTATATTTATTGTTTACAATTTATACATGGATCATTACCACTTATTTTGGGCCAATTAGAAATTACTAACAATTGCATTCTTTTAGAGTGTTTAAAGGCACTAAATATACCTGTCTCTTATACACATCTAGATGTGTATAAGAGACAGGCTTTCTTATATATGCCTATATATTTATGTATAAATATGTGTATCTATTGTGTTTTAAAATCTAACAGAAAGCAGAGTAGAACACTAATTTATGTACACATGAATATTTCTACATGTACTAAAATCATATTCCCCAGCATGACTGTCAGTCCTGTGATGCTTGTGCATCGCATCGCATCGCAACAGAATAACACACTGGCTAACAAATTGTTTGGTAGCTTTGACTTTTATTCATATTCCAATAATATGACCATAGCTCCGATCTCCAATTATTATATCAACAATATTTTGTGATGGGTACTATCCAGCCGGAGCTGATCATCAGGAACCATCAATATATATAACAAACTAGAGCAACTCAGAGAGAGGGTATATCTCCCGCCCACATCTTAATTCTCCACTGTATTTTCAATTTAATTCAAACGCATCTTTTCCGTTTATCAGTTTATATGAAATATATGGTCTGGAACGTTTCTCATTAATGGTCCGCATATCCCCACCCTACTTAGCAGATCGTCACCAAAAATGAATTGTTTCTTGCTTGGACCATGACAAACCATTCTAAAAAGTTTCATTCAGATCCATTGTGATCAGTTGTTGAGGTATTCTGGCTACTGGAACTTTAAATGACCCCCCCCCCCAAATCCATGCCTAACTTTAGATCATCTCCAAAATTAAGTAATGTCTTCCTTAGTAGAACATTTATCTGTTTTGTTGAACCAGTTAGCAACGGTTTCGACAACTGCTTCCGTTACTTTCTTCAAGCTAAGGAACCCTTGATTTAATTGAGTCAGTCACGCTTCGGAGAGTGAGCAGCGGTGGCGCCAGAAATTTGCCGACAAGGTGCCGACATGCCTGACAGATGGGTCCTAGCCAAGGAGCCGACGATTTCTCGGTCGACGGCCCAGAATAAAATCTCCATTTTAGAATTCACTGGGAGAGATATTATGGTTTAGTATGATCCAAAGGGTGCTTTTAAACCACAACATTAGGCATTGCCAGTCAAAATAACGTTATCATCTGGATAGGCAAATTATTATTTTTAAAATTTTTGTTCCGACGACAAAGTCGTACGTCGGACGACAGGAGGTCCAGGTCGGTCCAACGGAGGGGAAAGTCTCCCCACCCCACTCCGCTTGTGCCACCACTGTAAGTGAGTGTGTGCGCCAACACAGGTTTTTATCCCGGTGCCCCTTGTATATTCTGTTTGAAAAATAGGTCATATAAATGTGGCTTAGGTTGAAGAAAATGCCAAAAGCAGCTGCTAAAATGTTCACCAAAAAAATAAATAAATAAATAAGCCTTAAGTAAACTACAAGAAAATTAATGAATAAACGTAGAAATAAATTTGTATAAATTAATTTCATAGAAATGTAATTATTAACAAGAGAATAATTAAATACTTATTAGATAATACATAACAAGTATCAACAGAATTTATGTAAATAATCAGTATAATGAACAAAATTAATGAAATGTAATATATAAAATGCATGAATCAAGGATGATTTAAAAAAAAAGCAATCACACGAAAAGGCTTCTGGTGCGTCAATGCTTAAAGATATTGGCCAACCTGAAGAGGAAAGACAATATAATGTAACTACGGCAGGGAAGGACAGAGATTTATAGGAGTAGCTTGTACAATTTCTGATATTCAAAAGAATTGAGTTAAAAAGAAGGGCATTGAAGCTGATGGAACACTTCATGTAGGACTTAGGAATATAGAGATCACCTTTAATATTCTGACGAGTATTCATGCAGCCTTTAGCAATGATTTTTTAGATTGATTGACAAATAATTTTGACAAGCAAGGTTGTGAAGAACGATAACAATTAGGCAACCAAGTAAACTGATATCTGTAATGGCGAGGAAGAGTGTTAGTCTTTTTAAAATAAGTAGGCCTAATTGAAGGCTTTATTTTCGGTGAAATCTAATTGAAGTAGTAGAATTAGAGCTCAAGAAAGAACAGCAATAATTAAGTCTAAAAGAAAATTATATAAAGTTGAAGAGAGGAAGAGTTGAAAAGTGTGTGCATGGTACGTAAATAGACAACAGGGTTCAGTGATTGTGGGATTTCCAAGTTAGGATATTATGTACACCAATGTGATGAAGGTCAATTTTTTTATTATGAAATTTTAGCTTTTTCGAAGAACCAGTAAGCAAAGATTTAGTTGTACTAATACATTAAGATTTAGTTTGTTAAATTAGAGTCAGAAGAACGAGAGTATTTAGGGAGAGAGTTAGCTGAAGTGAAATGTATGCCGTGGCAAGTTACGGTGCCATCGGCATTTCAACAGTGACATTAGGAGGAGAGATTGTGGTAACTGTATCGACAGTTCGACTAAATAGCACTTTCTGGGAAAAGTCAATAGAGGAGAATAAAGATTGTTGGAGAAGAATACCATTATAGAATGAAAGTTTGGAAATAAGGATTGTGGTATACAGTGTCAAATGCCTGAGATAAATTAAGAATGTCAGTTAATTTTTGTTAGTATTATGACGCCATTTATCATACTTTTAAGTGCGATTAGAGCATAATATTGAGGTTTTATAACCAGATTGAGAAATATAAATAAGATTATTAGTATTAAGGTAAGAGTAATTTTGAGAGCGCAACATACTTTTTAAGAATCTTATAACAAAGAAGGATAGAAATATGACGTTAGTTGTTGTGATAAATTATCTTACCTGATAGGTTTACAAGTTTATTAAAAACAGCCAGTTTTCAAGATTAAAGATGTAGGTAAGATAAGATGAAATTAAGTAAGTGTTAGAAGTTACCATCAATTGAAATCCCGTAAATGTGTTATTTGCTTTAACTCATTTAGGAAAAGTCATCTCGTTGCTCACATTTTATAGATAGTTAAAAGAGATGAAAACAGTGTATATTTTTAAGCAATATTTATGATCCTATGATGACTTGAGTGCGCTATCTACAGTTAAAATTTACATACCCAGCAGAAAACTTACCATCATTCTGAAATGGAGCATCTTATTAAAAAAACAAGTACCAAGGAATGAAAATTAAAATCGTGTGCATTACACCCAAACACCGCTACGCTCGAGTTTCAAACATAGCTCTACTGAACTTTCTGTGTAAATTGAGGGCGCCATTGAAAATGATAGCGCTCAGGCGAAATTTGATTGGCTGAATATATGGCAGCCATCTTGGATGGTACACACACACAGCTCTGCGTATTTCGAACATCGAATACATTGCTGTTAGCGCTCTAGTATTCTTATTATATCTCTATGGGTTAAAAAGAAGGGCGCCGCCTACGTTGGGCACGACTTCCGCCTCATTTTTACAATGCGAGAACTCTATCTTGTATTTCTAGTATCTTTGGAAATATTAAATACGTTTAATATTCTACTACGCGACTGCCCCCGACGCACACCATCGCGTCTGCGTTCAACTCACACAGACCCGACGCGACAACAAATCGCGTCGGGCTGCGTCGGCCGACGCTGTCTGAGTTGGCCTTAACTGATGAGGGTTTACAAGTTGCTTTAAACAATTAACACAATTATAATGCCAGTATAAAAGGTCTGGTCATAACTTAACTTGAAACTTGGGGAATTCTGGCATTGTTGCATATTGAACTAATACAACTGTGATGGTAAATTTAATAGTTTAATTAATAAATGTAAGTTTAAATGACACTTTTCTACTAATTGAGAGCTAGTAGACTTTTCCAATCACATTTAATAGAAATATGTGTAGGCTATGACCACAAATTAAGTTTATATGGACAGTAGTAGCAAAGATTTGGAAATATTTATAAAATGAGTTCCAAGGTCAAGGATTTTCTAGACTAGTGTTTCCAAGATATAGTATATTTTCATTCATAATTAACATATTTACGTTATTTTTTTCAAACATTTTGGTCGTCATTTGGAGGAGTAGCATAAAACTATACATTACAAAGAATATAAACAAATAATTTGAGACTAAAATCAAGAGGAAACGGAACTAGAGTAAGGTGTGTGAAATGCATATATAATCGGGTAGGAACAGGGGTTCCCATGCACCCCCAGGATATATTTTTTTAACTAACATTTTTGTAATCCTCAAAGTATCTCATGAAAGAATTTTGATGTTCCCATAAAAAAAAATGTCCCATGGGGTTGTTTGGTGGCCATTTTGGCGGCCATCTTGGATTTTCAATGAAAATCATTAATTTTTATAATTCATTGACTAAAATTCACCTAAATTAAATAAACCTCTAAATATATATAGTAAACAGTGTTTATGTTCTTAATACAAAAAGATTGACTTCGCATTTACATTTGACGGCCATATTGAGGGCATCTTGGATTTTGCATGAAAATCATTAATTTGTATATTTTAATAACTAAAAATCATATTAAATTAAGTGAACCTCTAAATTTACACAGTAAGCAGTGTTTATGCTCCCAATAAAAAACACTGACTTCCCAAAATATGGCGGCCATCCATATCGGCAGCCATTTTGGTGGACATCTTGGATTGTCAATGAAAATCATTAATTTGTAATCATTAATTAATATATTATGTAGTAAGCAGTGTTTAAGTTCTCAATACAAAACCTTGACTTCCCAATACATTTGGCAGCCATTTTGGTGGCCATCTTGGATTTTTTTTAAAAATCATTAATTTGTATACCCAGGGAACAGTGAAACTACTTACTGTTCCCTGGTATACCGTAATTTATTAACTAAAAATCACATAAAATCAAATGTATACAGCAATCATTGTTTTATATTCTAAGTACAAAACATTGACTTAGCAA